CGCATCAAAAAAAATTTCAAGGAAGAGAACTTATGTTAAGGAAAGTCTTATAAATATCGAGGCAGATCGAAGTAAATAACCACAAAATTATGAAGGTCCATGTGTGACAAAGAAGTCATTTTTACAGGAAGCTCTCATTCTAACAAAAATGGATGGTGATGGATTGATAAAACATGTGAATTCAAACGCTATGAAGAAGTATTAAACATGAATTATAACTCTTCTTGTTCAAAGTAATAAAAATATTAATCAAATTTTGGCTTATTGTATTTATATTCCTTATAAAACCTAAACACAAGAGTGTAGATAGGGTAAATAAGGGATGAACTCATAGGGAAATAGTATAATCAATGGTTTCTATCGGTTGATTATTCCGAAGTGCAATGGAAGTAAAAGAGGTTTTATGCTTGTAGAGATTTACAAAGTAATCGAAGTAAAGATAAATAATAATAATGAGAAAAACCTTGCTTGAAGATTGGTATCCACTTTTGGTTTAATCACTTATCATTGATTCAAACATTAACCTATTTTTAGCATGAATAATCACCGTAGGATAACAATATATATGTTATCATTAATCTTTCCTTACTCGATTCATTAACCAAATAGATATTATTTGATTAATTTCTAACTATTAAACAACCTAGTAGACGTTAGCTACATTTAATCCAATAACAACATTGAATTAAAGAATGACAAGTGAAGCTAAATAACCCTCTTAGACTAGACACTAGAAAGATTTAATCTATTTTTATATTTTTTAAGAGATTAAATGAAAATGCATTTATAATCATTAATCCTTAGTTACCACCACATGCAAGTTTAAACAAGCAATTACACGGACTTGAATACTTAGGTAGCAATAGATTATAATGATTAAGAAACTAGCATGCACTCGATTAATTAATCATACAATCATATTTAAGTAACACAAAAAAACATAAAATACTTAAAAAGAATAAGTTTAGAATTAGAATTCGTTAAGATCTCATAATAATTTTATAAAAAACATCAACTTTTCTTCAACCAATATAGATGTTTAGTGACTCATGGTTGATTACACGAGAATTTTTTGTCTAAGGGTAAGCTACCGATAAAAGAGTCCTTTAATAAAACCCTAGAAAATAAAACCCTAACCTCACTATTTATAGCTAAAATTAGGATTACAACACATATGTTAGTTCCACATGGCCATACAAGTTATTTGATAAAGGCACACGAATAATCGCTTTATTTCATACAAGTTTGAAGCTTTGGAGAGTTGGTGTTACACGGTTTGCTGGACAAAGGCACACGACCATGTTCCTTTTACACTCTATCTCATGTCTTCTTTTGCTTCATCTCGTGTTCCCGGCTTCTACCCTTGTGGAATTTGCATTTCATCCCATGTCACTACTTTCTCGCCTTTGTTGCTTCATCTTTTGGATTTCTTTTAGCTTTGACACACACGGACATGTCTTTTCTTCGGTGCATATCGTGTGGATTGCTACTGCCCGTGTGTTGTTTCTTTCCTTTTGGAAGATATCTCGGTCTTGATGAAGCACGGCCGTGTCACTTTTCTTGCTCTCTCCGTGTGGAATGCCATTGTCCATGTGGGTTTGTTGTTGAACAACCATACGGTTTCATCTTTTGTTTCACATGGCCAATAGCTATTTCTTCTTGTAATTCACACAACCATGTGTCTCCTTAGGATTCTTTGGTGACTTTGGCTTTTCCTTACTTTGGTTTGGGTTTCTTTGCTTCAATTCGTCATTTTTCCTACAAAACCTAAAATCATTATCTTGATCTTAATTTCCTAAATATAAAACAATAAGTATAAAAAATTTTAATGTAAAAGAGCATAAAAGTTATGCAAATTATTCACTCATCATTACTTACGCTATGCTATAGGTTAGGCAAAATAAAATTATTTCAAAATTTTATGAATTTTTTATGAATTATTTTTTTCTATTCTTCATTAATTTTCTAATTAAAAAATAATTTAATCTTCTTTATCCATAGATTTTTAAATAAAAAAATTATAATACTTTAAACTAAAATATTAAACAAGAATTAAAAAAATTTTAAAAATATATTTTCAAAAGAATGCACTAAAAAATAATAAAATTATAATTAATATATAGACTTATATAAAAAATAACTAATAAAGAAATAAAATTTAACCCTTATTTAATACCGATGAAAAGATTATTTTTTGAAAGTAAGTGCATTTGGTCTACGTATATTTATTTACAAACTAATTAATAATGTTAGTATAAAAATAAAATTGTATTTGAATAATTGGATGATTCCTTTAAAAAAATATTTTAATTATTTTATTTTAAATAAATTAATTCTATAACGTTAAAAAAAATATCCATGGCAAATAATTGACATTATGCGTGAAGATATATAGTTATTGTTTTAATAAAATTAATAATTCAATAGTATTTTTTTATATATATATATGCCTTGATCATACCTAGTGGATTGAGATAAATTATCCGAAATATTTTTTTAATACACACACAAACACACACACACACACACACAAAGATATATATATTATTTTCGCTACGCTAGGTGATAAATATAAATAATAACATTCGATATTTCATAATTTTTATCTAAAAATTCTTAATTTAAAAAATTAATGAAAAGAAAAAAAAAACTACGGACTAGGCCCTTGGACCTAGGCCTGGCACAATTGGCCTGCGCGCCTAGGCCTAGAGCACCAAGCTCACGTGACTCAGCTTTGAGCACCTAGACCATGCGTGAGCCTGGCTCTCCAAGCCTGGGCAAAATAAAAAATAAATGATTCTCTTTAATTTCTACCAACCTTTACAAAGAAAGCGTCAGAAAGTTGGGTTTTATTATTTTTTGACCTCCTAAAATCAAATTTAGCTGTGTTTTTGTTTAAAACTACTTCAAAATAATATTAATAAACTTATTTACAACCTCAAAACTCATTTCAATATACACATAACACCCAAAAAATTTTTTTAAAAAAAATCAAAATATTTTGGATCATGATCCACCTCTTCAAATCATTTCATCGCTTTCCACTACCACAGGCAAATTCTACTTTTCAAGATGAATAATATGGTTATAAGCTTGACCGTTAAAGTGGTTAGAATGGGCCTTGCCAACCCCCCCCCCCTCTCTCTCTCTCTCTCTCTCTCTCTCTCTCTCTCTCTCTCTCTCTCTCTCCCTCCCTCCTCTTAGCATGCAAAACCAAAATAAAATGAAAAAAAAAAGTGTTAACAAAAGAGAGACTAAAGTACTTTTTTTTATTTATCAAATAGTGACAAGCATAGTGAATGAATAGAAAATCTAAACAAAATAAACATTAAATAAATAGAAAAAACAGAAAGAGTGTACAATGTATGAACAATAATTTTCATTTTCTTTTAATTTTTTTAGTTAATAACTCCATCTAAATTTGATTTTTGGGTGGTCAAGAAGGGAATATATCCCTTGATCAGACACCGACTTGCTTATTTTTAAATAAGAAATGTTAGGTGTAGTCGTTAATGAGATCATCCATTGCAATTTCTACTTGATCATCTAAAAACAAGAAAATTATAAATTAGTCTCTCTAATTTTAAAAAATAAATTAATTAGTCTTTAAAAAAATGAATTATTTAATTTATTGATCAGTATGGTTCAGGCCTACTTTAATATTATTTTATTTTAATTTTTTTCCCATCAATTTCTATATAACATCTATTTATTTTTTAAACAAAAAAACAAAATGATTAGAAAAGAACATAAAATGTAAAATAATAATAATAATAATAATTAGTTTTTGAAAAAAAAAATTTAACTAATTGATTTCTCACTAATTTATAATTTACCCAACACATACGATCATGTGGTTTTGTTAATTCACAAGTTAGTGAAAAATAATGCACCAAGGTACTAACTTCTTGGTATTCTCTAGTGTAAAGGGGGTATGTGAGTTTTACGCTTAAAAAAAGTACTTTTTTGGTGAGCCACCAAGGTACTACCTTCTAATCGAATATAGCATTGCTATCATAAATTTAGATCTGCACCAGTCCAATTTAGAGTTTATTTTTAAGATGTTCGGATAAAAAATTTAATCTCCATGAATGTGTATAAATTGATCCTAAAATATTTCTAATCGTCAACCAAAAAAGAAAAAAAAACAATTTAGATTTGAAATTGTAAGATAAAGAAGCCAAGACTGTATCGTGACACTAAACGTATATCCAATACTAATTATATTGAGAAAACTTGAAATCAGTTTGACACAATTCCATTTAAGCATGAAACCTGAATTGTACGACTGAGTCTTGGGAAAGTTATATCAGTTGACACTAGTAAATTTAACTCCAACAAAAAAAAAAAAGTGTTCATCCGTGTAAGTTACAAATCTGAATTTCCAATTTCATCCAATCAATCATTGTGGCCAAGGTTTCCTCCACAGTCGACGTTGGCCTTTTAATGGTGTCATCATCATCCCAGCAAAGTAATAGTCGGATCTTTATTATATTACCTTTCCCCTTAATTTTGATGGTCTTTCTTACGGAGCATTTGAATTAAGTGCCCCAGTTGATGCTTATCATGATATTTCTTTCTAGCCAGAAAGCCTGTATGTAACTCATGCCATTTCTATCACCAAGCACCCTTTTGAATTTGCCTTTACTTTCTTTAATGGGGTTAAGCCTGCTATCATATTTCAATGAATGGCAGTGGTTGTTGCAGCCTGATCCACTAGATAAAGTATATTACATCAACAAACAGAGGCAATAGTAGAGGAAAATTCACTTGCATACCTAAAGTAGAGTTACAAAATAGTATACATTAATGCACTGCTAAGTGATAGTTTAATTTTCTTGTTCAAGTATTTAGTGCAGCTGACGAACAGAAAGCTACACATAAGATGACATTATATTATTCTGTACAGTTCTTTCTTTCATATGATAATACGTCACCACCGAAAAATTCGGCACATTCTTGAAATAATTAAAAAGGATCAGTGCAATACCATGGCAAACCTATGATGCGAATTCCCTTGACCATCTTTCTTCATACCTCCCAAATGAGTAGGCTGTCATAGGCATCTCACTTAAGTGAAGAGGGTCTGGTTCAATGCCATAATCCGTCAGGGGTCTGCTCTCAAGAATATTGTCATGATTTTGCACGAATTCAGGGATCTCAACCTCTCCTTTCTTAATGTCTTCCCAAAGGTACTGAAGGCGGCTCACATACTTGATCTTCCAATATAAGCTACAAATAGGGAGACAAAAAAAAAAAAAAAGGGAAGCGTGTCAGAATAAATCAGCAGAAGAATGAACCCAGAATTTCATCAAGTACATTACAATTCATACTTGATAAAACTAAACGTAAGCCATAGCTTAGTATGGTTGTTGGATAAGAAATTGCAATAACTCTTCCAAATCTTATACTGACCTTCATTGTCTTTTATCTACAAGAATGCTTACCTAATATCCTCAAATTACAAAGGAAAGGCATGTAAACTGCAGTTTGTGCAATTGAAAAAAATTGCAATAATGATCTATCAGTTGATAACTCATCCCATAATGCCAGCCACCACACTAAATTATGTAATAAAACGAATATATTTCATCTATGTAGAGAATACTCATGTGCAGTCTCTAACAAGACATGTTCAACTTAATTGCAGCATATTGAGATACATTATGGTACTACTACAACAGCAACTCTTCAACAACTTATAAACTTGTACTATCCCATATCACTGAGTACATTGCATATTTAACTCTAAAGACTGCTAGACGCCACTCTTCCCAGTTCTATATATCCTGGTACACTTTTAGACTTTAAAGACATCTTCAACAAGGTAGATGAGTTATCTAATTGTTTAGTTTTACATAAAGTTACATATCATAGTAGGTCCAAGTATTTTAGTTTCGTGCTACATAGACCTTAATATCAAGAAAGCACTCACCCTCCACTCAAGAAGAATCGACCAACTGTTGCAAAGACAAGCCTTGAGCGTAGCCCTGGGTGAATGAAGTACACACTTCGAAGCCTATCCTTGTAGTCAGCAGGAAGATCTTCATAAATCCACCTCAAGATAGTTACACCTGGTGAATTGTCCTCCTTTTGCACAGTACTGTGCATGTAAACAATGCAGAAAGGTCCTTCAGGCAACTGACTGCACATCTTATGGAAAATGTACTTTTTCAGTCGTTCCCCACTCACTACTTGAGCTGCATACACAAAAGAGAAACATATGAAACAGAATAAAAATGACAATCAAATCAAAAGAACATTCTGCAAGAGAGAAGATTTCTCCAGTATAAACCTGAAGAAAAAAGTCCAACTTCCATCAGATATTTAATGTCAACCTTTTGAGCTGATATCTCTCAATTCTCTTCTTAAAACTGAAAGACACAAACTTTGAGCATATTTGAACTAGGCTAACTAAAACCAGAGAAAAATTACGGAGTTGCCAGCACAGTCTATCCACAAAACATAAATTCGAAGATGAAGCTAAAGTAATGACACCTATTATAATCAAACAAAACTACATAATCTAGGATATGCAGGAACTAAGGCAACAAAGAACCACTGAACTAGCTAATTCCCAGATCACTAGAAGTGAAACTTCCACTACTAATAAGTAGAAACAATACAAGTGAAAACCATCATCTTGGAAAGCTCTTTTACAATTAGGATAGAAGACATAACCCTCTGCATAAAGTTGCAAAATTTTCTCATAACATGGAGAGGAAAAAGGAAACGCGACCATTGATCAATCTTACAACAACCTCGAACAAAACAAGACAAAACCCATTAACAAAAAACATTAACAATCACCAATCAATCACATGCAAGCTCTCAAAACCAAGAAAATAAATAAACTTTTCAAAAGGGTTAGACAAAAACTGTCTTAGTTTTCATTACCAGGAAAGTACTTGCCCACAATACGAAGGATAGGGTTTCCAAACTTATCAGATCCTTGAAGGCTAAAGAACTGCAAGAGATCAAGATCAGAGAAATCTTCATCTGAAATAAAATCCTGAGAGCAGTCATGCCACTTTTCAGGTTCTGGGTTTTCCTGGTTTTGTTCTCTTTCTTTGTTTGTTAAAAAGGGTCTTGCATCTATGCCTAAATCTGATGCTAGTACAAGTACTGAGAAATCGTCGCTTGATGAGGTTGCCATGTCTAACGATGACCTACTTGGGTGTTTCTGGAGTGGGACTGGTTTTGTCGTTCTGGGTTTTACCCGTTTATTACTGAAAGGATAAGAGAAAAATACATTTTTGAGTGCATAATTCTTTTTAGTGCTCAATCTATAAATTTTTCTATTTGATTTTCTTTTTGAACGACTGTAACAATCTAAAATTGAAAATAATTCATATGTAAAAAATGGTTGTGACGGTTTTTAACCATCAAGGGTAAAAAAATAGATTATATTTGGATTATTTAAAAAAATTGATTATTTTTAATTATAATTTGAATACCTTATTTTTTATTATTTCTTTTCTTAGGTGTTTAACGTTTATTTTTTTTATTTATTTTATTTTTCTTAATTACTTGATATTGAAAATATTGACTTAGTTAGAATTTTCTATACGTGATAATCTTTAATTGCCACATAGAAAATAACGAATTCCACTTGATATTGAAAATATTAACCTAATTAGGATCTTTTGATACATTATAGCCTTTAATTGATATGTAGAAAATAACGAGTTCCATTTGAATTTATTGAGACAAATAATAATAAAACTTCTATAAAAAAAAATTAAAAAAATAAAAATAAATTACTATTGGTTGAATGATCTCGGTAAGTTTATTGATTAATTTCTTAAAATACTTTTAAGATATAATTATCTAAATATTTTCTTTTTCTAATATGTTATACTTAAATTTAATTAGGCATACCAGCTCAATTAAATTGGCTCGAACCCAGATGATACTTTAATCATAAAACCGTAAAAGCTATTATTACACTTAAAATCTAATCCAATTGATAAAATTCAGACAAGCCCACACAAGAAAAAAAAGCTCCAAAAGAGTTTATCCAGATAAAAGGATTTAGTATATCTCTTGACAAAATGGCAATATGGGCAAAAGGACGTGAGAAGCCAAATCCTCTATGTGAAACAAAGGGTTAATAAAACCGAGTAACTAAAACTAAAAATAAAATGGACATGATATATTGCAATATATGAGTGAGAATACGAGAGAAAGTATAACATTGCAAACATGGAGCATTGCAGTCTAATAAGGGAAGTTATTGCAGTTCAAGAACATGCCTATTAAAGAATAAGGTAGAAAATTGGAAGGCTATAAGTATTAGTTATAGTCATAAGAAAAAAACACACAATGAATAACACAATTAACTACAATGCAATACATTTGCAAATTATCGACTTTATCTTTCGGTTCAAACGCTTAAAACACATTAGAGCTATAGATTGTAAGCAATAATCATTTAGGTTGTAATTAATTAGGTCGATAGATCGTTTCTAGTTCGATTGCCACTTTCATTGCAACATACACATATTTTGTCTCTCGATGTTTGGAGTTTGTTTAGTAGTTCCAGCGTTTGTAAGTTTTTTTATGCTTTTGCTTCTAAAATTAGTGTTATTTATGCTTTCACGATCAATATTTTTTGTAAAACTTTTAATTCAAGCATTTACAAATTTATATTCTTGTTTAGTTTTGCATTTCGTAGTTATAAACTTATTGAAGTTAGTTACTCGTGAGTTAATTTATGTTTTGAATAAAGATACAGCTTTTATTAATATTTTGATATTTAATTTAATTTATTTACTTAGTAACTTTAGTTGTCTAATTAAGAATCTGGAAGATAGATCGCCATGCAGATTAATTTCCAATCATATTATGAAAACCTTTTTGTTTCAAAATTCTCTTCATTGAGGTCACCATAAAAAAATCTATAACAGCTTTTCGATGATCACAATGAGAGTGTTATCTATATGGCACCAAGAAAATCAAACAAAGTTCCATCGAGTAGAGGACGAAGGTGAGGAAACTTACCCTCCGAATGCAACAGCTTGTTGCATAAGAAGGTAGTTTTAGCTAACAAGCCACAAGATGAACATGTTTTGATGTCACCGAAGAAAGATAAATCACTTATGAAGAAAGAGTCAAAAAAATCATAAAAGAATTAGACATCAAACATAAGGCCTATAAGACTAGTTGGAAGAATAAAATAGGAAAAAGTAGAAACCATACAAAATCACTATAAGGAGTTATTGAATGCCTATGATAGGACAACACACTTTCTCTTAGAATCTAATGTTTAAGAGAGACACAATATAGTCTCTAAAATTAGGCATGAGATAAATATCTTCCGGACTATCGAGAAATAAGCCCATTTAGGCTAATTAAACTCGGTAGATGTTAGCAAGCATATCGAATCCAAAATTAAAAAGGGATATGACAATGTTATTAGTGATTTCATTCATGCTATATTTGAAACGAGTGCATAAAAATATCCAAACAAGTAGCTTTGCAAGTAGAAAATCAACTAGAAGAAAGACTACCTAAAGCTACTAATTAACTGGATCTTCTAAAATAATTCCACCTTGGGAAGCCTATAATGATTCTTTTAAGCTATAGGTGGGTATATAGTAAGAGATAATCTTTTTTTTTTTTTTTTAAGGCGAGACCACCTTCTTAGCCAACTTGGTAGAAACCTATCATTATAGGGGGAGCTTACTCTAAATCGAAACTTAGACCTTCAACTTGGCAAAAACCTAAAAGAGAGCCTAGGCCATCAACTTTGCAGTAGCTCTGTCGACTTAAGTGAGACTAGTTATGAGGGAGAACCTAATAAAAAGCCTTATAACTCTCTATAGAGTAGGAATCACTTTTATAGGCCTCCAATGAAGAGAGTTCGAGGGCCAAATAACATAGAAATATGGAGAATACCACCCAGATGATCCTAGGCTAGGATATCATCCACCGTAAGAACCCTTTTAATCAGATCTAGAATATATCTTAGAGGTGGTGGAGTAGGCCTTTGGCCTTAGAATCCAACGATTCATAAGCCAATTTATAACCGACCATATCCTAAGTGCATAAATAGGGAATACCCTTACCCACCCAATTTTAGGTTTCTAAACTTTACTTTATTTATTGGATAAGGAACAATCACAACCCTAGCTATATGCCAATAGAGAGAGAGGCTTTTAATTGTGACAACCCGAAGCTTAGGTTATTCCTAAATTCTTTAAATGAGAGTGCATTTTCATGGAATATAAAACTACTTCTAAATTCCATTTACTCATAGCGAGATATGCAAGTTGTCTTCTATGCCCACTTCTCAAAAATAGAGTTAGAGTTAAGGTTTTCAGACTTTGTGAAGTATAAATAATACCTAAGATAGTTTGTCAAATAATATCTAGATAGATTCATAAAAGCTAGAGCAAAGTGCTAGGTAAAACAACATGAGAGAGAATTTATAGGCATAGTCTATCAAGGCTTGGAGTTTGAACTCATGAAGTAGTTTGAAGGGATGGAATTCAAAGATGTATATGGATTAGATGTGAAAACCTTCAAATATGAAAGTTTATTGAAAGATGAGAGACATAAAGAATTTGTTGTCTATGAAAACTACGATCGAAACCTATTCCATGGGAAATTGACATGATAGAGTTCATCCATAGAACTCTTTTAGTAGACGATGCTTTTGTTAAGAAAAATGTTAGGGCTATCAAATCGTTTAAGTCCATGAAAGAAAAGCACTATCCATTTTGCATAAACCAAGCTAATCAAATATTTGATTAGTTAGTGGCAAATAAGAGAGTCATAATCAAAGAAAAGCATAGAACTTTCATAGAATAGGAACAAAATGGAAAGCTATAGAATAAATGGCATGAAGTCCTAAGATAAGTAACTAAGAATTATATAGTGTTCGAAATGTCATACAAAACCTTATAGAAGCCAAAAACTTTAAATTTTTAGACAATATTAATCAAATAGGAATAAATAAAGATCCATTTCTAATTATAAATCTAGTTGATATTCCTATTATCATCAATATGAATTTTGTCACTAATAGTTTTGTTTGTTCTAAAGATGTATAGATAGTGACATTTGACAATATGATAACCAATTAGCACTTTGACTCCTAGTGTAGACTAAAATTTTCAAATTTACACTCGTGTATTAATCGTAAGACATTGATCATATATATAATGGCATATTACAGAGTTGATATACAACCAATAAATGTTCAATATTTAAGGGATTTATCAAAGAGAACATCTTTAAAGGGAAACTAATTCCAAACAAGGATGAGCTATAAGCCCTCATTCTTATAGACTCGTATGAGCCAATAAGGACTAAGACCTTTAAGAATCCTAGCACCCCGATTCCATCTAATCTATTTAAAGAAGTTTTTTTTCAACAAGCTTTACGGATAGAAATGTTTTTTCACAACCTCAAAATACTATAAAGAGCATATGTACGAATTGTGAACCAATTCTTTCATGTGAACTTGCATTTTAAGGAATGAACTTCGAGAGGAAAATAGAATGGCTAACTAAAAGGACTTATTGGTGCCGCACTTAGTAAATCCTCCCAAAGAAAATATCCATATTCTCTAAAATAGAACCATCTACTCAAAAAACTCCAATTACCGAGAAGGATTAGGGATGGACTATAATAAGAACTAGATCATATAAAAGAAAAAAAATAGATCTAGTAGAGGGTCAAAATAACCGTAAAGAATGCATGAGAAGGACCCGAGTGTAATAGGGGTTGCTGATTTTCAAAAAATAAAAAGAGGCTATAAAAAAGAACACTTCTTAGAAAGAATAAAATTAAGGCTTCACTATAGACCAAACTTATAATAACATGGTCATCAAGTTTAAGACTATGTCCGATGATGAAGATAGTGACAACCCCAAAACACACAAGAAGCTAGAGAGGGATCTTTCGTAGATTTTTCCCAAGAAGATAACTTGGACGACGAAATACTAAAGGCCTTTCAAGATGAAAGTGGTTCATAGACCGGTGAGTACTCTAGAGATATAAAGGATGTAAGGTACAACATGATCATTTTGTTATCCTTAAGATTTTTTCTTGTAATATAAGAATCAACACCTCCGAAAAAGGACATAACAAATGATATCCCAAGCATTTCATGAGATCATACAAGAAACTAGTGACCTAAAAAATTAT